CATTTGAATGTATGAAAAACTATACTCTAACCCTATCAAAAACGATGCGAAAGAATGTGTTCCTGAACCCCCACCCCCTTCAGAAGACCAGCCAGCTCAGCACCCTCCCTCCCTGCCCATCTACCGTACCCAAAAAGAATGCAAAAACCGAGTCACGCCCGGGTTAAAGGGGGCGGCTCACTCGCGGGAAAAAGGGAAAGAACACGCGACATCATCTACCCAGGGCAGATCGGGGCAACCATACCGGCCACCGACACCCATCCCACCCCTCCACCCTTCCCCCTCTATGCCACAGAAAACAAAACCAAACAATGCGGACGGGACCCCTAAGCCCAACGGCCACTTCGCATTGCGCGTCATCTTGAGAAAAGGGGAAAAGACCGAGGATCTAACAGGGCAACGATGGTGCCGGCTGGAAATTGAGACCTCGGAATGGGGAATCGGGTTCTTTGGCATTATCGGGGGGAGAGAAACTGTTTCTGAGGATCTAATGTTTGAAATATGAATAATGGCATCATTTATAAACGGTTTTTACTATTTCTAAACGTGGAATCTCACAAAGTTTGATTAAAAACTGTCTAAAATACAGATTTTTCACGCAAAATAGTCGATTTTGACCAAAGTTTCGACTTTTCAAAACGTTGCCTTTTGAACATTTAAAGTTAAAACAAAAAATGCCAATGTACGAATTTGTAAAATAAAATTTATTTACACGCATTTTCCCGGACGTTTTATGCATGTGGCAAAAATTCGGAAAAGCCGGGTAATTTTACAATATGAAATTGAAACTTTTTTCCGTGTTTTGGAAAGCTAAATGAATGTATAGTCGGTATCAGCACATTTAGCGCTAGGAAATCGGCGGGCTTCAAAATCGACACAATACTTACCAACGGCGCCCCAGTACGCTACAGTACTAAACCCAAAAACCCATTAACAGTATAAACCCTCAAAGCTAAACCCCGAGCGGCTGGGGGACTGTTTTTTGGCGGGTCCCGCGGTGGGGGAACGTCTTCAAAGAAAGACGAGGGTCGAATGACAAGCCAATGGTATGGACCAAAAAGGGGCCAACGACGGCTCCTTCCCCGCCAAAAAGGGGGGCCCACTTCTCGGGATGCTTTGTTTGGGGCTATTCCCATTCTTGACAGGGTGCTTCTGTTTTGGGGGGCCTTTTGGGGGGTGTGTTTGGGGGGAGCTTGGCGGACTGTGGGGGCTGTTATAATTGGAATCGGGAAATTTGTCTTATCAAGATTATCGAGAACCTTAGGAAGAAAATGGGTAGAAAGCGAAATTATGGCTCTCTCTCTCAGCTCTCTCTCTCTCTCTCTCTCTCTCTCTCTCTCTCTCTCTCTCTCTCTCTCTCTCTCTCTCTCTGTCTCTCTCTGTCTCTCTCTATCTCTCGCTTTCTCCCTTTATAAAATTTAACATATTTAGTGTAGCGCTCCAAGCTTTAATGAAAGTACAAATAATTTAGATTTAAAATCCAGGGCAGAATCTCAAAGGCAAGCTAGCAGAAATTCTTGTGGAAATCCAGACCATTAAGGTAAAATCGAACCGAATCCACCTACCAAAACCTTCCGTCCCCCCCGATGTGTTGAGGGTAAATAGTACTTAGCCGGTAAACGCCTCTGGGTGTTAATTGCCCAATCGTGACCCTTTTCTGCGGGCAAGAGAAACTAGGAAATACAGAGACACAGAGATAGCAAGACTATTGGGGTGAAGCCCTCTCGAAAGGGGCCCCTGAGCGGATCGCGTGGAAAACGGAAGCTACGTTCAAATAAGCTCTCTTGGGTGGGCGCGCCGTTGGGGGGATTCGAGAGGATTGGTGGCTTTTTGAAAAAGTATCAGGGATTTTAGAGAATTATGCATTAAAAGGAGGTGTTTTTCTAACTCAAGATTTCTTTAAGGTGCTGCTGACAACCCATTAAAAAAAATCCTGCTGACACGCTTCCTTTAAAATAACCACAATAGTCTCGTTTACACAGGCGTTGCCTTTTTACAACCAGCAATGGCAGCAACCCATAAAATTTACATTTTGTTTGAGGGGGCGGCTTGGGTGGTGAGAGTTGTAAACCCGAGTTCCGGTTGTTGAAAAGCCAGGCGATTTGTGGTGGAACCGGTGATGCGGTTTCTCTCTCTTTCCTACTCTCTCTCTCTCTCTCACCCTCTCTCTCTCTTTTGTAGCATTAAGCCGTTCCATTCACATTTTCCTTCGAGAACCACAAGAGGCCTTTGGATCTCTCGTTACAAAGTCTGAAAAACCTCAAGACTACACCCAAATATCCAATATCAAAAAAGTCATGAATAGCGATAAAATTCGTCTAGCTTGTGTAATTAATTTATTTAATTACCTTAAAATACAAAACTACAGTAGTTGGGTGGAATTTCTGTTACATGGGGCCACTTTATAGTCGGGGATTCTCGCGGCCAGGGGCTGGGAAGTCCGTGGAAAGCTAGTCGTGGCGAGACCACCCAACACGTTCCGATGGGTGGTCCCCATGTAGGTCGCGCCACACAGGGCGCATTCGGCTAAAAATTGCTGGACATAGTAGGATAAGTGATCCTATAGAAGTCTCATGCCTTAAAAATCCAATTTTTTCCAAAAAAATTTTTCCTCGTATTTATTGGAAAGGCACGTGAGGTTTGTCAAAGTTTTTTAAAATCTTTCTAGTTAGCGAAAGAGAGAGAGAGAGAGAGAGAGGGAGAGAGGGAGAGAGGGAGAGAAAGGGAGAGAGATAGAGAGTGAGAGAGAGATAGCGAGAACGAGGGAAACGTTCCAGAGCACCTACGACAGTAGAGAAGTACTTACTGAAAAGTACCTTAAAATACAATTGCCTCAAAAAACAACTTTCCCCTCATATTTACTATACCGACAAATTTTATTTAATTTGCAATATTCTGAACTGGAGCTCGAGTCATAAAGCGAGACTGAGAGGGACAGATAAAGCCCGATAAAACTGTGTAAAACATTTTATATTTTGGGCTGCTCGAACACCCCAAAATACCTCAAAAATATAGCTACGACAAGCAAAACATACCGCCGGCGGGGGGGGGGTGCTTCTACGGTAACCTGATCCGTATAATATCAACCGCTCAAGCAGCCAATTATGCGATGCAGAGAGGTGGGCAAACAAAAGGCTGGGTTGGCAAAAGAATACTTGGAAAATAACGGGAAAATTAAGGATAGATTAGTGATACAAAATTCGGAAGAAACTCTTTTCCTCTTCCTGTTCTCATTAACATGTTTTGAAAATGCACTGGAATTACTCACAAACCCTTGTAATTTTTATGTCTTATTTTTATACTTTATTTTACGCGTAGACTCGCTGGCTCCACGGGAAAATTGTTGTTCGCCTCAGAGCTTTGGGAAGTTCCGTGTTTTGGGGTGGATCTTATGGACTGTCCATAGTAGTGGGTGGGAACGGGATATGCAAATAAATGCCGACGATCTGTTTTGAGAACGACATTTCCATACAGATGCTAATCGCAAAGATTCGCGACATGTTTCTGCCATTAATGCCTGTGATATTTATCTTCGCTTCGAAGTCTATCGATAATGAAGCAGAATTTAATATTACTGATGCGTCAATTCGATCTAAAAACCTTACTTTTAAGGATTACCTGATCTTTTATGGTATGTTTTTTGATGATTCAAATCCGCTACAAAACTTTAGGCTTAGCCAACCATCAATTCGCTGATGAACTAGCTGACGTCTTCTTTCAAGCCATCAAACAAAATGACGAAAATCGGCCCCAAAATCTATCTCGCAACTTACGCCACGATTTCTGGGCGTCACCAAATATCTAGTTATAAAAACTGAAGAAGGTATACGCTATTACGTTCCAAGAGAGGTTAATTCGGACAATATCGTTCCCCGCCAAGCCAATGCCAATTTCCTCTCGGACGTCAAATTTTCCATCAGTCGCCACCCCTTACCTGTGAATCTTACCGAAGAAGCCGAACCGACAACCACAGAAGATTATGATGACCTTCTAGCACGGACTACAACTACAAAAATGGCAACAACACCACAAACTACACCTGAATACGAGGTTCTAGACTCTACAACAACAATTTCGAATTCTGTAGCTGATTACTCAACCCTTTACTCTAATTCTGAAACTTCTACCATATCCCAAGTGACTTCAACTATTGAAACGAGCTCAAAAACGTTAGATGATGATGAATATGTAATGCCAGATAACGAACAGGATACAACAACCACAACTGAGCTACAATCTACAACCGAAACGCTTGAAAATTCTGGAAATTCTCTGGAAACTAGCACATCATTACAAACTAACGTCGAGCCAGCCACCTATCCCGTCGAAGAACAACTGACTGTAGTTGAACAGCAATCGCCGATTGAGGTGCCAAAATATAGCTCACCCTGCCTACCGTACCAGAATTGTGATGAGAATACGCCGCGCGTCATGTATGAAATACCGTACTATCAACCGTGCAAGCGTTTTTGTGGGAAGTATCGATGCTGGAAGAAATCTCACTATTATCGATATGCTTATCAGAACCAATTGGAAGGGAGGCCTATATTTCAGAAGCCATACCGTAGCTCTTACGAACAAAGTATTCCCGCGGAATCGATGGTGGTGGGGAAATACCCATATGATTATCCAGCTAGTACGGTGGGTCCAGGTATTCGAAAACTATTCGGAAAGTGGAATTAAAAAAATATTTCGATAGTAGTATTGTAAAACCATTTTTAAGTTTTATATAGGTTTCTAGAAGATTACTGTAAAATATATATTATTGAATTTATGAATAATTTTTTTTCGGTAAAATACTGTCATCTAACTTTCCTTCAACTTTTGAATCAACTATTCTGTGATAAAACTATTTTTTTAAGCAGATTCACAATAACTTTAGCCTATTTAACTCGTATTTTAGCTTGTTTTTTATGAAGTGTACTGTAATTTGAATAAACTGTACAAAAAAAAGATAGATATTTATTTCTGTACACAGATCATTGGTGTTTGTGACTTTATTTGTTGATGCAATCGCGGTCCTTCTTCAGCAGGGTCAACTCGATCGTTTGGGCGTTAAATTGCTAAAATTCCGGGGGTTACGGTATTTTAAAAATTGACTCACGTTCTGTGCCTGGCTGCCAGTGGTGACGTACTGCTTAGGGATTTTGTACGAGGATTTGTATTGGCAGACCGGGACCTGAAAAATTATTTTATATGGAAGTACGTTAGGGTTATGGTAAATTAAATTTCTAGGCAGGCTAGCAGAGATTTTTAGGGAATATGTAAGTAGAAACGGACCGTCATTCCACACCGATGGTAGATGTTGAATTTGGGGTCTTGGCTGAAGATCAGGTTGCTTGACGTGCCCGTCAATTGGAACATTCCGTTGGAGTCGGAATTGACTTGGGCGAGCTTGGTGTCGAAAACTAAAATGGGAATGGATTGCATTTTAATATTGTTCAAATTTTGATTTCGTTCGATTTTAATTTTAAGTTGAAAACTGACGAGTGTTGTCATCGTAGAGCTTCAGCTTGGCTCCAGAGTATGGGCGGCCATTACAGGTCAACCGTCCAACAACAGATACGGTCTGAAAGTTGTAGTTAGTACAGAAGCGGAATTTTTCGGATACCTGGGTAGCGGCAAAAGAGACGGCGACAAGGCCGAGTAGTAGCAAAAGAGCCTTGATCATTCTGAAAATAAGATATATAAATCTGTATACTATAAAATAATATATAGAAAAACTTTGAATATACTCCAAATCCGGTATAGATATATTTAAAATATCAAAGTTTAGTATTTTTACAATAAAACTAAATTTTTGGGTTACGGTAGCTAGCTAAGAGAGCCAAAATCTTGAGTAGATACTTCTGAAAAACCAAAGAATTGTTGTTTCTTAAAAGACAGCCAACGATGCTGACCTATATACAGGCTAGGGGCGGGCAATTCCGAAAACAAATAGAACTCGAGTGGGGGGTTGGCCACACGGTAAATGGAAGAGTAGAGGCCCAACCCCCCTACCATCACAACCCACACCAGGTAAACAGATAAATAGAAATGAGCCGGCGGAGAGCCGTGAAAAGTTTTTTTCGCGCTGTGACCCACAAACAAGCATCGGGGTGGGGAGGAAGGGAAAGGATGGGAAGGGGAGGAGAGCATGGTACTTTTCGAGAATGGCTTCATGAATCATCCAATGAACGGTCACGGGAGGATTTTTGGGATGACGTGATGAGGGGAAATGGATGAGTCAAACCTTATAATTAGGTATTTGAAAAAAGTAGCGAGCGTGTGACAACCGTATGACGAATTTTTAAAAGAAGTGTGAAGTGAATGGTCTGTAGAAAGATTCAAAATGGTAGAATTACTTTGTTAAATTAAATTAATTTAATAAAAGGAATTAAATTGAATTCAGCAAGGAAAAACTAGGGAATTTGGAAAAAAACTATGATTCCTTGAAAATGTTGGGATCGTAGGATCCGGAAGTGTAAAAATGACGGTACATCTTGGATTAGGGCTACTACCGAGGTTACGGTAATCTTAAATGACGATGGGCTCCTAATTCCACACTAATAAACCTTACCGATTAAGAAACTTTGAAATGACGACATTCGAAGACTACAGTACCCTTTGAGCTACGATACTTTCCAAATAACGTCCACATGCTCCTAATTGCGATCGACCGATCACGGTAAATCAGACTACATTTCTTTTCTAGTTGCTTAATTTCTCAGGAATATTGTGTCAATCTTGTATTTTCAACGATTACGACATTTTCCTAATTACATTTTTTTGAAATTTAATTTACAAAATTTTGCGTGTTTTAGTTTTTCCAATTTCTCACCTCTTTCCAGCTTCAGTGTTTTCTGACAATTTTTTGTTTTCTGTTTTACTCCCAACTTTCCCTGTCTATGTTTCAATGCGTTGCTAGTGTAGTCTGGAACTATTGGTTTTCCCGCTCCATGCACCCATTCTATGGTTCAGGTCTCGTCTTTCCGAGCCTCTCTCTTCTTCGTCTTCAGAATGCTGTCCCTTGCCACTTCGACAAATAGACAAAAATATTTATTCTATTTATTTCCGTCTGTTGAGGCAGTCGCGGTCCGTTTCGAGCATCGACAGCTCGATCGTCTGTGCGTTGTAAACCTGGAAAAATAAATATTAAAATTTAGTTACAGTAGTCTTGCCTGGGAAGCCGTGGCCCCATTGCTAACGTATTGAGACGGGATTTTGTAGGAAGATTTGTAATAGCAGACAGGGACCTGGAAATAGGACAAAGTTTATGGTTTTGTAGGGGGAAGCATACAGTCATCCCGCAGCGGTGGTAGATATTGAATTTGGGGTCTTGGTTGAAGAGAAGATTGCTGGTGGATCCGGTGAGATTGAAATTTCCGTTGGAGTCCGACGTGACTTCGCCGAGTTTGCTATCGGGGGTCACTAAATAGGAAGTTTAGCATAGCCTGGTAGTTGCTAATTTTTAAGATAATCAGAAGTTCGATTTTTATGATTTTGGTATCTTGCTTTTTTGGTGTTTTAAACTAAAGTTACGGCTTTTACGGCCAAAACTTGGATCAATTTATTTAAATTGCTCGTTTTTAAAAAATTCTTAATACCGAGTGTACAAAAAAATTTTGAACACTAGAAACGCTGGTTTTCTTATTTTTCGATGGGCTTCTAATGGTATAAAATGGTTTCGTATCGACTAGTTTAACTATCCGTTTCATCAATTCCTCTATAGATTCCGATCCTCACCCACTTCACAAACCCTTTAAACAAGGTACAGCACCAAAGTTCAGGGCAGGACCGTTATTTTTACGCGATTGTTTGTTTGTTTGTGGGTGGATGAGGGGGTTGTCGATAGGTCGTTCCAATATTTGGGGTCTGGGTGTTGATTTGTTGGGGTTAACGGCTGGATGTTAAGAGTTCAAGAAAGTACTAGACTTTTTGTGAGAATCAAAAATCTAAACTTACAGGTATTATCATCATAGAGCTTGATCCTGGCTCCAGAATAGGGTTGTCCATTGCAGGTCAATCGGCCAGTTACGGCCACTGACTAAAACTTAAATTTTGGTAAATTACGGTATTAAAGTATTTGCACTACTTTTTTATTTAATTTACCTGTAGCGTAGCCATCGCTGCCACACCAAGCATGGCAGCCAGACACACGATTGAAGACATCATGGTTTAGCGGGAATATCTAGTTTTACTTCTGGCTTCTCGACGTTACCAGCCAGGTATATATACCCTCGCTACTTCCATTCACTTACATCCCTTCAAACACCAAACTTCAGTTCCAACGTTTCGATGGTTCACCAACAATTTTCGGAACTGAATAGCCAGCCGGACACCCTGCCTTGCCCTACCCAACTCCCCAAACATTTACCTTTACTTATTTTTATGTCAGCCCCAGTGAGTCATGAAGCGAGTTAAACGTTCACATGACGTGCGGTAGTTGGTAGTTAATAACTCTAGGTAGGCCATTTTTGGTCGATCTAAAACGGTGGGCGATCGTTTTTGCGAGAATAGCTTGACGAAAAAACCATTTTACGGAAGTCAGGATTTCGAAAAATTTGCGGTAATAGACTGTTAGCAGCGGGGGGGGGGGGATTTTAGCAGGAGGGAAATTAACCGTGTTTTTGACCTGTTACTAATACATAACGTTCTTTTGTAATGTTTTTAGCGATTTTTGCAGGCTAGAAAGGCACAAAAATTTTTGATTTTTGAAAAATCGAAAATTGTGAGCTTTTTGGTCAGTTTTCATAGATTTTTGACGGCGAGTACAGGAATACTAGGAAAATTGAGTTTCCCCCCTGCTAACAGCCCGTACCCGATCGGCATCATTGTTTCATCCCGCTTCTAACCGTTTCCTAATGGTAGATTAAATAAATTTTCGAAATCCTGATTTTCGAAAAACTGCGTTGGTTTATGGCTTCAGAAAAGGCGATTTTATGGATAACGTTTATGGATTTTGGAATTATGTCGGAAATGTTTTTAAAACCTCTATAAAACAATTCTGCCAACCCCCAATCCCCTGCCATTGCGATGCGAAAATGGGCAAGGGCAACGGGCCAAGAGTTGGCCCCGTTGGCCCCCCAGGGGGTGGGCCCTTAGGGGAGACGGAGAGAATGAGAGTGCAGGGGAGGATGAGATGGACAGACGACAGAGCATGGGCCCTCCAGCGGTCATGTGGGCCACTGGCCATTTCCCAACAAAACAGCCCAACGAAAAAAGATGGAAGGACTCGGAAACATGAGAAGAAGAAGAGAAAGAAGAGGACCGCCGAATATGCTATTTTCGCCGGCGGGGTGGTGGAGTGTGTGGAAATGGTGGTGTTCTTTGGAAATTGTGTGTTTATTAAGTGGAAATGGGTTAATTGTTTAATTGTAAAGTTACACATGGTCTGGTGGTTAAAAACTTATATTTAATTTCCAAACATTAGATATTTTCTACGTGTAAAAGATGTACTGGTAAAATAGAGAAAGCTCTAAAACACTTGGTTTTTATTTCCCGCAATGTTTTAAATAAGACCTGGGCTGTTATATTAAAAATAAGCTTTTCAATTATATTGGTATTTTCGATTGAAATAGTCTTCAATATAAACAAAGATTATAAAAAAAGACACCATTAAAAACCTGCAAATAAAAAATTCGGTCGGTGCTTAGCCTTAGTCCCTTTAAAACTTTTGTAAACTTTGTAAATAAATGATATTTTCGAATTTAAATATTTTCAAACATCAACAGACTACGAAAATTATAATTTCGGGTTCCTTTAAAAATTGGTTCGTTAGTTTAATAATTTGAATCCTTTTATATTTTCCAGTATTTTACAAATTCCGACATTTCCCCTCCTCATCCTGTCTGTCCGTCATTCCGTCTGGCTACTTCTTTTCCTTCTTTTTCCATCCCCTGTTTTTTATATTGTTCCCCCTAATCCCAATCCCCCGGTCCACTATACAACATTCCCCAAATATATCTCAAAAATTCGGCCAGCGCGTAGTTAATCAAAGAACTGCAGGTGGTGGTGCTCTCGGCTTTCTTGTTGTATAGTTGCTTTTTTTGGAAAGTCAACCGACCCACCCGAGGGGGGGCGCAGCTAATTAAAATGTGCCCTCGAGGGGGGTACAGAAAAAGGCTGGGCAATTAGGTGGCCATGGGTCGGTGAAGAGAGAAAGAGAGAGCGAGAGAAAGAGGGAGAGAGAAAGAGAGAGATCCATGGGGGCCAATTTCGTACATATTCCGTGTGACTTTTCAGGGCAATGGTGAGGGGAGGCGCAGGTGGTAAAGAATAATGCAATGAATATTGCCGGCTGATTCATGAGGTGGCTATTTTTGGCGAGGCTGGGGGGATTTTGCTGTACTGCTTGATTGCGGTGGGTTGAAGGTTTGGAATTTGGTGTCGAAGCTAAAATAGCGCTATGCACTTTGTGGCGTGGTAGAAAAACTACTGTCGTGGTGTAGGGGTACGGTAGAGGTGCAGAAATGTCGCAAATTGCCAAAAGATTTTGTCTATTTTTATCTTAAAAATACTTAGAAAAGGGGTGATGTTATGCTTTTTAGAAAAAGTTGTTATTTTCAAATCGAAATTCAAAGATGCAATTCTATGATGTTTTTAGGAGTTTTTAATTGCGGGAAAACGATAAAAAAATTTTCAACGACTTGGAAATTCGGAAATTCTTGACTTTTTGGTTTTTATCCTTTTTAACGCGAAAAACTTACAAATTGCTATAAAAATTGCTGATATTATGTTATAGAATCGCACAGCATTATTGAGAAAAATCCGTTTCCTCTGCTAACCCCCATGCTAACAGTACAGTACCGAATTTGCGAGTAACACTTGTATTAGCTCGTTTTCCAATTCCACAAGATCCATAACCATCCCTTCCCCACCCATTTAAGCCCGTCAAAAAAGACTGCTGCGCTTTTTTGGTTTGCTTCGTTGATGGGCAGCCTATTTGTGGGATATCTGTTGGGATATGTGGTTGTTGTGGGCCCATGCTGATGGGTGTGAGCCTCCCCTCTGGGCCTCAACCGCCCAGGGGTCTCCTGACAAATCTGTTTTCGGCGGCCCGGGGGCTTGCCACCATCACCATCATAGTGGAGCCTTTCCCTTCTCCCGGCCCTTTCACAGCTTCCTTGTTTTTTGTGTGTGGGGCTTGATTTGATTTAGCGCTATTTTTAGGATTTTTCTCGTTTTTTTTAAAATTTCATTTTCGAAATGCATTTTTGATAAGTCGTATAAAGAAAAGAAATTTTTCGAAAAACAGGTTTACTTACTTATCGAAAGGTTGCAACAATATAAGATTAAATAACAACCATTTTCTCCCCCAATTCCTACCGAACAAAAATCGCCGACCCGCAGCAACAAAAACAACGAAAAATGTGGGCCCTTGGCTAGGGGCCAATCCGCTAAAAACGTCTGCAGGGGGGACTATACGAAATCGAGCGCTCCACTCTGGAAATCCGGACGAAAAAAGGAGAAAATCCGGGACTGGGACTATAAAAACAATGAATGAAATAGGGGAGCCGGGGTCGGGGGTTTTATTCTTGTTTTTTAGACAGATGGCACGTTGCACTACAGAGATACTGTAGTGTTCGCGTAGTCTAGATGGCCAGGATTGGAAGCTACAGTATGTCTTTTATATATCATCTGAATACCCATAGCTTGCCGTCTGCTCCGATCTAAATTCGAATGCGTTTAAAATACGTTAACTCGATTCCGGGCATATCGTAGCCGACCGTAATCCAACCAAAATCTAGTTTTGCTTGCATTGCATTTATATTTTCTTTTTTTTTTGTTATTTTTTTCAATTTTTGCTGTATCCCTGATTTCTTTTAATATTAATACATACCTTTGAAGCCAAATTTTGGGCTGTTTATATAATTTCTGCGTGCTCGGGCCCTTTAAACCGCCACAGTACCGTAGTCTATGAGACCATTCTGTGATTAAATATTTTTTTGGATTTTAATTTTATTACTACACCTAAAAATTATGAACGGTATATTAATGCTATGCTATTTTCAGATTTAATAATGCCTTATCGGCTTAGCGCTTCCATCTACCTATAAACTCTATCCCTCGCACTCTCTTACTACTAGTATACCTTTCCTTTCAGCTCCCCCGGTCTAGATGCCCATGGCCCCTCTATGTGTATGTGGCCAGCAGCCAGCAGTATGTGTGTGTGTGTGTTTTTTTCACTGGGCCCTCCTCCAAAAAGAGACCAAAAAGAGACGGGGAGCCCCAGCAATAGTGCATGGAGCCCGAAAGGGCCATTCGTACAGCAGCAGCCGTTCCATGGTCAGCCTCCTCTACCTCGTGCGGTGTCCCGAAAAAGGGGGCAGCCCGCCCCAAAAAAGGACGCCTCTTTTTCGCTTTCTCTTTCTGAAGGGAGCGGGACCGGGGCAAAAAAACCCGAGACCAAGGGGCAGCATGTACGAATGTAATAAGCAGCCCCTCGGACTATAGCCACAGGGCAGGGGGGAGGGGTACGGTAGAGGTGGAACAGGTGAAACGGAATAGGGGGGGGCAATGGCAAAGACAATGTTACTATACAGCTGGATTTGGTTTCGAGTGGGGGCGAAGTCACGTAGTTGGATTAGTAATACCGATTTCTTATGGTATTTGGACTGTTTTTACCATTGTATTGATGCGTCAATCAAAATGTTATTTTTCCGCAATTACGGTGTAGTTCGGAATCGTCCAGAACAAGCCCTCGACCTGTCATTAATGCGTAGTCACGTTCTATTGTTAATCTTGTTTTCGTGATCTCTGTATCCCTTCGCCCATGCCATCTAAAAATACCCCCAGGGCCCTCTTTTCGGCTTTCAACATAACTCTGGCATGGTCTACAAAGTGCAGCTTGTGAAAGCAAGCCCAACTCGAGTCCAAAAAGATGCTTGTTCCAGGTTGCTTGAACCAAGAAATTTAAGACTTGAGTTTTCGGTATTTATAATTCTTAAGGATATTGGAGTTAAAGATAGGTTTGCGACCGGAAGTTGGTACTGGACTGTTAGCGAGGGGGGGGCGTGATTTTTAGCAGGGGGAACTGATTTTCCCAGTTAGCTCGCACGTTCCTGTAATAAATACAAGCCATTTTTGACATTTTACACACTTTTAGATATCAAAACTTTCGAAAATTTTTGTCTTTTTGGTTAAAGATGTAGGAAAAATCCCCTAAAAGTTTT